GAGCTTCAGCCCTCCTGGAGGAAGCCCTCAGAAGGAATATGAGGACAAGGAAGGATCTCCCTGCCAAGATCATCATCGCTCTTACACTAAATCATCCCCCGTGGTTCTCTTTCCTCTGTCAGACTGCAATGCTTGATCCTTGTGTGGGGCACACTGTCCCTTCCACTGAAGCTTTGGTCTTGTTTAGAGAAAATGTCTTCCTATCATGCCTCAGTTTCTCCTGAACACTGAAGACTGAGATGCCTATGTAGTATTCTCCTGGGAGCCAGGACTGTTGGCATGTGTCTTTCTCTTTGCCTGGTAGGGAAGGTGCCCGGCCAGCATCCCTGGACCTACACAGATTGGTCCTAGGGAACACTGCTAGGCCCACTGTGTACCTCCTGCTGGTTGGGGAGGCCCAGGCCTGAGAATCTGGGGACAAGCATCTTGGCCTCCTTGCTCCTTTCTTTCTCTTCTGGAACCCCGCTTGGAGGCTGAAACTTTCCACAGTGAACCTTTGGCTGCGGGTGCTGGAACTTTTGCAATTTCCTGACTTGAAAACTGTTCCCCCTGTGCCTCCTCCACATCCCTTGTAGATCTTGTGGGAATGATCACCTCAGCAGGGCTTCAGACCCAAACTGTTGGGAGCACAACCTTGGGCTCTCAACTGTGACCCACGACACTGAAAAGTGCACTGTTGGGCTGTAAGTTCCCATACCATGGTCTGCCATCATCTGTCTGTCCCAGGGCCTGGCTGGAGAAAGCCCTGGCTTGAAGGCCCAGGAGAATGGAGATCAGGGCTCAAGAGGGAAACCAGTCTCCAGGTAAATTGGATTGGATGATGGGAATAGAATTTCTGTGCATAAGTCCAATCATGCAAAACAGAGTTTACTCTAGAGTTTGGAGCCATTACTCCCCTCCAAACCCAGGCAAGAAATGCCAAAGAATGTCTGGGCGTAAGGAGGTGACACCATAGCCCTGAGGAAGGAGCATGGGATTTGAGACCAGACCAGTGATCAAGAAAACTGGAAGCCAAGACACTGAGCCTTGCTCCCAGGAGTGCCTGCATTGCTGAAGTGTCACAGGTTGAAGTGTCTGCCTGTTTCAGAATGCTGCCTGTGCCAGCAGAGAGTGGCCAAGCAGATGGGCACTCTTCAGGAGCCCATAAGGAGGAGCCAAGAGGGAGCCTTACAAGCTCTGCCCAGCAGAGCAGGGTACTGTGACTGCCCACTTGCATGCATTCCTGAAACTTCCTGAGTGTTTGGGGGCTGTTGGACCAGATCCAGCCAAAGCCTGCTATAGACCTTGTGTCATACCCTGTCCAGCTCTGAGGCATAAATCTTGGGTCACTTTTATGGACTTCCATTCTCTATTACTGTGGAAAGGCAGGCCAAATAAGCCTGAGGCCTTCCTTTGCTTAGGTCCCTCCCCCCACGCCTCATCCAAGATCCACACACCATCCGGCATTGCGCGTGCAGAAAAATTTTAATAAAAACAAGCAATTCAGAAGGTCTGGCGGGGCAGGCAGGCTGGTCATGTAGACTTGGTGCTATTCCTGGCCGGGGAGGCCAGGAGGCTCTCCTAGGGGCAAACATTCCCAAGACAAATACAGGGCAACAAGCTGGCTTTGTCTTCTCCCTTTGATGACGGAGCTTCCAGGCAGGGACCTGACCACACAGAATGAGGCAGGAAGGTTTTAGGAAGGAGGGTTGCAGGGAGGTTCGGGGTTGACAGTGGTAGGTATCTGGGCTCTGGTCCTTTGAGAAGCTCCCCGAAGAAAGGTATTTAGGTTAAATGATATAAGCTTACAGGCAGAAAGTTTTACTGGTTTTGCCACCTGTCTGGCCTCAAATTGTCACTTCACCCAACACCCCTCCCTCCTGTCTCAGTCAGGTGCCTGCTGTCCTCAACATGAAAACCAGTCACAGAGGCCCTCAAGCTATGACACAGATGGGCTAAAAACAAAAATCAAAAAGAAAACTGAAAAATTTTAATCCCTTGGTTCTGCGGATATGGATTTTTTCCAAAAGAAATTTAATTAAAGACAGAAAAAGACCAATATAAACCAAGAAATCACACACACATGTGAAAAGTGCCATGAGGGCCCTGGAGTCCTGGCCTAAGAGAGGGGAAGTTTTGGCACATAGTCTCTGGAGCCTTGGAAGAAAGATTTGAGGGGACAGTCGTTCCCCTCAAATCCAGACAGCTTTCAGCCTTTTCAGGTGGGAACTGGCCAACCTGCTGTTCCCAGTCCAGGAGCTCACAACAGTTGTACGTTGAAGACCCAGACACTGTGGTCAGGAGCCAGCTGCTCACCTTGGGACAGAGCCTTTCGCTGCCCATTTGCAGAGTGGTGAGATCAGTGCTCCTTGGTGCTGACCACCTGCCCATCCTGGATAGGTGTCTTACCCTTCTCTCTTAAGAAGCTCCTCTCTCTATCTCTCTATCTCTGTCTCCATCTCTGTCACCTCTCTCATTAAAATATATCATTGTTGTGACTTTAAAACTTGAAAAATTGTCTTAATCCAGATCGATCTAGCATATTGTGGTCACAACTCCTTTAGACCCTCAGGCAGCCAGTACCAAGCACAGCAGGGCTTGGGACACGGCTTAGTGTCCTAAAAGTCCTGCCACCACCTCCTTTGTTTCCCCTTGTGACCTAACCCCAGTCCTCTCGGTTGCTGACATTGCAGCTTATCTTCCCTCCTGAGCTTTTGTGTCATGCCTTACCAAGCTTCTTAGCACAAGCTGGTAGTTTCTCCCTGTCGCCAGGATGAGTGTTTCCCATGGCTGTAGTGCTGCTGCCACCCTGAGGAGATGCCTGCCCCAATTCAGCCTGGCTCTATTTGCCTGTCTCTGGTCATAGCTCCCCACAAACAGTGTAGGTTTACCATGGCACAAAAGTGGGCTGGAGTGAATGAACGAATGGTGAGTAGTGGACCTCTATTTAGATTTACCTTTTCCAAATGGCCAGGCAGGAACCCTCATTCCATAGTAACCCTGGCTTCATAATTCTTGTCACACATTTAGTACAAGGATGTCCAATTTTGATTCTCCGCAGGTCTTCCTTGTGCATCTGTACACCTTTCTTTCATTTAGAACCATGCCTAGTACATAGTAGTAGATGCTTAATGATTATGCGTGGAAATAGTGACCTAGAAGTAACTGAGTTTCCTCACCCTGAACTGTGACCCTCTCACCACCTCTTGTTTCCATGCCCCTTATGAGAAAGCTTAAGTTTTCTTTCTCTTTCTTTTCCACATCATAATCATTCAAAATTTTTCCTGGAAGCACTTTCTGGAGATTGTAGGACTGTATGGGCCTCTGCTAGCTCTTAGGCTGTGGGCATCTCAAGGGCAGTGGGCTTACAGTTTTGTCCCTATGTCCCTTGTCACAGTTTTCTGTCTGGGACTTAATAAATAACTGTTTTAAGAATAAATGGAGATGGGTTAAAGGGAGGCCTGACTGACTGTTTTTCTCAGAGCTTTTGGAAATCACACTAGGTATGGAATGGTCACTATCTTCAGAATCCCTCTCCCTTTCAGCATTCAAATTACTCTCTTCTTTCTGGTCAGAATTAAGTACAAAAAAAAAAGGTTTCCTTTTCCCTCCTTGTTTTATAGACTTCTGGAAGATGACTCCTCTCTTTCTGTTTTCCATCTGTTCTCTGCAGAAGGCATATTGTGGTCAGTTTGGTATTGGTCAGGATAGACCCTGTTAATATGCAGTAATAGCCCTCAAATATCTGAGACCTAGCAATAGACTGAGAGACTCCCCAAAGCAGGGTCCTTCGTGCTGTTGCCCACGTGAGCAGGTGCTCACACCTCAAAGCATGTCCCCTGGTCACTCTTAAAGTACCAGCCTCTCATGCACCCAGAAGAAGAGAGCTAGACACATCAGAACACTAGTGACCCCTGCCCCACTAGAATCAGGGGCAAACTGAGGCCTACAAAGCCAGGTTGAGGTTCTGTCCACAGTTAGGGAGAGGAGATGGGAAACAGAACAATGAGAATAACTCCACGCTGGATCTGGACCAGGACTTGGACTTCTCACTCAAATTATCATACCAGTCACTTCCGATGATTTTTGCCAGGAACTCTGCCAGCAGCTCTGAGTAATCACAGCCTCATAGTCACCATCAGGGAAAACTTTGTCAAGATGCTCTTAGGCTTGAGCTTCAGCCCTGGGAGAATCTCATCCAAGTCTTGCTCCTCAGAGAAGAAGGGAAAATTGGTCACTTGTCACAGCTTCACCCCTGCTGTGACCCTCACCAACCTCTGCCTCTTCCCTCCTGCATCCTCACCCCGACTCTGCATGCTTCCACCATATCTCCTGGAGGTTTTTCCCTTGTGATTTTCTTGGCCTGAGTTCCTGAGGTACAGTCTAGTAGCAGAGCCAGAGAGTGACTTGATATCTGACTTACAGAATAAGAAAAAGAACACATAGGAAGAGAAGGCAGACAAGCATTAAGCCCTCCAATTAGGCCAAGATAAATATGCAGATGAAGTTGTTTGATGCATGACTCTCCCACTAGATTGGCAGCTCCAGCCAAAAAGGATCATATCTGGTTAATTTATGACTAATCTCAAGTGCTGTGTTGAGTAACTGATACAGAGCAAGTGTTCAATAACTACTCTATGAGTAAATACATGAGCTGCTGGTATCACAGTTGGACAGACTGAAGATCAGAATGGCCAGGTTACCTGCACAGTGTGCAAATGATGAGCTTAAGACTTGAACTTGGTTCTGGGAGTTACTGGTTCTCTCCCCTACCATATCACTGCTACCGCAATGTAAGTTTATGTCAACATTGCTACTTTAACCGAAGGACTGGTGGTGGGACATTGGTGGGGAAGAAGCCACAAGGCAAAGTGTGCCACCCGGCAAAGCCACTGTGTTCTCCTTGTAGTCTCAGCCTTGCATCCTTCCCTGTACACCCCACACTGTTTACGTCTTAGCCCATGGTCCTACTGCTGCTACCCTTCACCACCCCAACCTTCCCCAACATACTGGATCTGTGCAAAGTTTATCCATTCCCACTGTTGGGAGCTAGAGAAGTCTTAGTGCCAAGTTCTCCTCTTGATACTTCATGAATGTAGACCTCTCCCTTCTCTGAAGATGGTGGATTTCAAAAGGTGGGGGCCATCATTCTGTACCCTCTGTGATGATTTATGCTGAGCCTGAATGCCAGAAATATATCAGGGAACAAGGTAGTATCTGTGCTACCTCTCATGGAAATTAGTGGAGGCAGACAATTAATAAGTGACTAAATAAAGTTATTTCTGAAAGAGATAATATGGCATTGGAGAGTCTGATATACCTTGGGTTCTGCAAGCAAATGACATCACAGGACATCACAGGCCTACAGGATGGGAGGGATCTGAATGGCCTGGGCTGAGGACTGGGAAGGAGAGATCAGTTTTAGTCAGGAGAAGGGTCTCTTTTACCTCTGGCTCCCCTGGGAAGGGAACTTGCTGAAGATTCTGAGGGAATGTGATAAGGCACCAGAAGATAAGGATGTCTCCTTCCTGTGGGAAGAGATGGCTTCTGTGCTTGTTTCTGTCCTAACCTGGTCTCAGAGCAGATGGTCAACACTGCCTCATAGACTTTCAGTGAGGTCCTTTCTTGGTGCCTATTCTAAATTCATGTAGCTCAGCTTGAATCTCTGAGTTTAGCGCGCAGTACTTCCGGGTACAGTTCATTCATACTGCCCCCTGTCGGTCATTCTTCATAGAGCATGATTGAGCCTTTCTGCAGAATTCTCATGTCTTCTTCCCTGGGCTTACTGAATGTGAGCTACCCATGGTCTGGGTCTCAGAGGCAGGCAGGGAGTCATCCAGCCTAAGGCTGACCCCAGTGTGGCCTTCTGGGGCATGCCACCCTTGCTTTCTCCCCCTCTCCACCACAGCACAATCATGATCCAGTTCCAAGGCTGCTGAGTTCTAACTGAAGTATGCATATTGAGTTTGCACATTTAATTGGAAGGAAACAATCCCATCCTGTGGGTGGGTGGAAGTCAACGCTGACGGCCAGAAATACTCTTTTCAGAGAAGTCCTCACCACTTGGGACTGTTACAGAGGGACAGAGAGGAAAGGACCAGAGTGAGTCACAGATAACTCAGAGGTGAAGACCAGGGCAATACCAGAGCAGACTTTGGGGAAGTACTGACCTCAGGGTCAGGACACTGAGTCTGGGCCCTCCTCTCTGGGGGCACATTGCCTCATACAATGGGAACTGGCTCACCAAGAATAAGTACCAATGGGCAGAAGGTGCCCAAAGGATGGGGCTCTGGGTGCTACTGGCTTAGAGAAATCTTACTAGGCTGCAGTAATGAAATGGGCTTCCCTGGAGCAGAAGATGAAGCTGATGAGCTCAGGCTGTGACCATGTTCTTCGAGGCCTGATAGTGTTCATTGCTTGTTCCTTGTTTTTGTTTTAGGACAAGGCATTTCCTTTCTTCTCTACCTTCAATTTTCAGCCTCTGCTGGGTCTTCTGGAACCATTTCCCTGCCAGTGACCTGCATCAGCCCCTTCTCAGGCTGGGTTTCTCACTCTGAAGGACTCTGCTCCCACCCCCTCCCTGACTCACCCACCCCCACCACTCTCTCCTGCATGCTCCTTGGCTCGCATAGCTTTAACAGTGCAGGTGCACACACTTGGACACTCGCATACGCACATACACTGTCTTAGAGTTCAGCATACTCCTTCTAGAAGCAGGCCTTCGCCTACTTCTCTGTTGTCTCCAAAGCCTTTTTATAAAGCTACATTTCTTCATCTTCCCTGACAGGCAGGACTTTTCCAAGATTAGGGAAAAAACCAAGCCAAACCTGGTCCCCCACACTGACAGTCTGCTGAGACGTCTGACAGAAGGATAAACATTACTAGAAAACAAAGCTGAGTGCCACATTGCTGGAAGAAACACAGAATACATACATCCAGGTTAGGTGTTCCCAAAGCAGACTCTGAGACAAAAATTTGAGGGAAATAGTTTATTTGATAGCTGGTTCCAAGAGTCACCAGCACTGGCATGCCGACATGACAAGGGAAGAGAGGGAAGACTGTGGATGCCCTACTAAGACTGCGACCACTGTGGTCAGCTAGAGTTCATTCTGCTGGGAATTCTCTGCAGGTCAACATAAAGCATGTGTTTAATAATTTCACCCAGGAGAAAGGGAACAAGACATGTTTGGATGGAAGGTATTTTCCTCCAAGATAAAATCCCCATACTTCTAAGCCTGCTTCACAGAGGGCAAAACTTCCAGTGACCAGAGCAATTCTTTGGGACTATCAGAATAGGCCCTGGGAGTTGTGTTGAGCCAGAATGCACTACCATGGAAAGGGCACTAGATACGGGCACTGACATTGTGTGTTATAATGTGCTGAAGGGTTTGTTTAAAGGATGTGGAGGTCAGGAATAGCTTCAAATTAAATGAATTTGGGTAAGGTCTCAAATACCTGAAATAAAAGTAAGAATGAGCTAGGAGAAGGATTTAATTACACAGAAATGAACAAGATCATGGAAGTGAGACACAGGAACATTGGCACCTTGGACTGAGCTGTGGGTTTAACTTTGAAATGAGAAATAGTATCAAGAAATCCCATGGAAAGTACAAAGGCAGGGGTGGGAAATGACAGAGTGTTGTTTCTGACGGGACCATGGAGGGTTTTAGGAGGAAGATGTGACTCTGGGTACCTTGAATTTAAGGCTCCTGTGAACATTCAGGCAATAATTTAAGGTTCTATGAATCATCCAGGCAGAAATGTCTGTTGAGGTAAGAGACCTGAGCTAAAGATGAAAAGTCAGGGGTCATCTCCTTAGAAGTAGAAGTCAAAGCCAAATGATTGATGAGACTATCAGGGAAAAAAAAGAGCAAAGATAAGGGTCAAGGAGAAGATAAGAAACGCGGAAAAATACCTACACTTAAGAATTGGAAATGGGGGAATAATGTCAAGCCAAAAAGCAAATGAAAAATGGGCAGAATTCAAGAAGCCAAAGCCTAAAAGTCTCTAAAAAAGGAGTAAAAAAGCCATAGCAAACCCTATCAAATTCAAGGAGGATAAAAACCATACATATGGAGCAGCTGAGGGGTCCCATCAAAGTTCTCATCAGAAGTGATCCTGGGGTATAATTTAGAAAATCTGATAGTAAAATTTTCATCACAGCCCACTAATTTTCCAAAATTCTTTCCTTTTGTGATTAAATTAACAATTGGAATATGAGCTGAGGAGAAGAGCAGATGATGAAAATTGTTTTAAATATGGAAGGAGGTAAGATTTTAAATAAATACATATGGGTGTATCCACACACACAATAGGAGAAAACCTGGGCGGTGGTATCTGTTGCTATCTCAGATTAAGGCCTGCCTCTGCTATTAACTAGCTGTAGGACCTTAGGAAAGTTATTTAACTACTCTAAGCCTTTATTTTCTCATCTGCAAGGCTGTTTCAAGAATTAAATGGAATGATGAATATGCAGTGTTCACTGGAGTGCCCGTGTTATCTTGAAGAGGCATCAAGTTTCCCTCTATTTTCCATTATGTAAGAGAAGTTGGCTGTGCTTCCACCAATCTAAGAGGTTATGTTTAGGCAATGTTGTAATGTATGAGGGATTCTCAAGTCAGGAATCAAAAAGCTTGGGCTTTAGTGCCCATGTGGAGACAGGAGACCATACACAGACTCATGAGAGTTAAGGAGGGGGCATTTATCTCTTTTTTAATGCCAGGTTCTTGACATACACCCTCAGCAAAATGGTGGTATAGAATATTTAGCTATGCATTTTCTCTGTGTGTCTTCTGGAATTTTAAACTATTTATCCCTCATCTGAGTTTATCCCTCATACTTCTAGTCCTTATAGGATCCTCAAGAAAAGAAGTTTTATCTCAGTGATATCCCCAAGATGCTTGGAAAAAGAAAACAAAAGCTCTGAAGGACAGTCAACCTGATGGCACCAGATTCCTGTAAGTTAGGATTCTCTGAAGGCAGGATTCCGGGTAAAAAATGTCTAGCATAAGCAAGAACTAGTAAATAAGATGTTAGATTTACTCCTGAGAATCCAGGTGCTTGAACTACCAGAAATATAATGCAAGAGAAATGTTTTAGTTATTAAAAACTAAAGAAAGAAAGAAAGAAAGAAAGAAAGAAAGAAAGAAAGAAAGAAAGAAAGAACAAAAATGCTTTCTAAAGAATCCAGGTAAATATGAAAACAAAACAAATACAATCTCTAGAAATAGAGCTGTCAAAATTTTAAAAATCAATGAACAAGCATGTCAAACACAGCTAAAGAGAGAATTGGTAAACTAAAAGACACCCAAGACAGAATGAAAAATGAAAAGAAAATGGAAATTTTAGGTAGCAGTTTAAGCAATGTAACAGGTGTTCTCAGGAAAACAAACTCACAAACTCAGAGGTTAGTACTGTGAGGTCAGAAATTACAGCAAGCTAATTAAAGATCAGCATGTAGGCACATATAAACAAGTATTGATTCTATGAAGCAGGAATTATTTTGAAGATTAATTTTGAGATATTACATATCTGTAAATAAAATGCTTAAAAATAGTGTGTAAGACTTGGGAGCTGCTACTTCTTTGTACTGTCGAAAGAGAGTAAATATTTTGTGCAGCTTTAAACATTGCTAAGCAGTAAAGTAAAAACGTCTTTTTTTTAACCAGGGATTGAACTCACAACCTCATGCTTGCCAAGCAGGTGCTTATGCTGCTGAGCTAAATCCTCAGTCCAAAAAGTCCTCTTTAAAAGAGAAATAAATCTGTATTTTCCAAATAAGAGAGATAAACTGGATGTAATGGCACATGCCTGTAATTTCAAAACTCAGGAGGATCACTAAGAGTTTGGGGCCAGCCTAGGGTACAAAGTGAGCTCAAGGCCAGGCTGTCCTACGCAGCAAGACTGTCTCAAACAACACAAGAGAGATAAAACAGTGTTAGGGCCTCCTATAACACAAAAGAATACAGAAACAGAAAGGGAAAAGAAGGCTTTTAGTGTTCATTCTTTACTAATCCCTGTTTTCCTCAACATTGTCATCAACAATTTGAATGAAAATAATGGCTGGATTCTAATCAATTTAACATACACTATACATAGTAACACCAATAATTAAAATATTAAATGATAGATCCAGAAACCAACATCTTGACTGGTTGACATGGGCCCCCTCAAGGTTCCA